GGCGGGAGAGGCCTGGCTGAGATGCTCCCCAGTCCTCAGATCAGCATGCAGACCCTCCCTGCTCTCAGCCCCTCGAGGCAGCGGCTTGGCCTTCAGCGTGATGGAGGGGCCACGTCACAGGAAGGTTGTTTACTGGCCCTGCCGAGGACAAGGTCCCCACGTCACTGATTTAGTTCCTCTGCCTCTCTGGGAGCCTGACACGGCCAACATTTCATTCCCTGCGTTTCCTGCTCTGTCCTTTTCACCTACAGGAGGCCAGGCCCACAGGCCCACACAGAGCAGCCTGGCCTCACTCCACAGTGGCCCAGACCCAGGAGCCCTCCCGTGGCTGAGCGGGAAGACCGCCATTAGACCGTGCAGCTGCCAGAGCCTGGCGATGGGCGGGAACAGGGCGTCCGTTAAACACATAAACCAATGTTATTTTAAACCCCCACTGCGGGTAGTTTAAATAGGCTGGCACTTAAAATTATTTTTTTCTGACTTATTGGTGAGGGGAAATTACTATTTTGTTAATTACACAACAGTAAGGAATTGGAGATCTTAGCTCCATAATTAAAAGTTTCCAGAGGATGTTTATCAGCGTAACGGATGCAGCCCGTGATCGCCGCTGCGAGCTGCCGGCTGGAGACTAAATCTCCCAGGGCTGCTGCCTATCGATCGGGGCGAGATTTATCCCGGCCGTTCCCCAGCGTAGGCGGCGAGGCCTCTATAAAGCACAGTTAGACCCATTTAAACCGGCTTAAATATTTCCTAAAGACAGAACATCTACATCAAAAGGAAAACAATATGTAGGAACCAGTGGCTACGAGGACAGAAACAGGAAATCAAAAGAAAAAGGCCCCCCCCCCCCCCGCCCCCCAGTGCAGCTGTGGGAGGAGAGGCCCCGCGGCCGGACCTTGGAGAGCCAGGCTCCCCTCCCGTGTCTGGGGCTCGGGGTGGCTGGGACCCGGGGACCCGCTCACACACTGGGACCAGTTCTCTTACCGAACCAGCACCCCACTCAGCCAGGCCCGGGATTTAACCCCAGGCATCTTACAGGAAAGCCAGCCAAGAACAACGCGATCCTGATTTCTAACCACCAGCCCGCAGGCGGCCGCCCTGCGCAGAACAGAACGGGAGCAGATGGACAGATACCGCGGCGTCTATTCTGGGAACGGCGCTCACCTGAGCCGGGCGCTGCCACTCAGCCCGCGCCCAATCGCTCCATCTGCAGCCCCAGGAATGAGCTCTGTCTCCAAGGACTTGAGCGCAGGCCTCTACATCAGCTCCTGGAGCCGCCTCGTCTCCGCGCCGCCCGCCCCGCTCCTTCCCTGACAGGCAGAGGCGAGGTAGAGACGCACCTCCCGCCTGCTCCCCGCACTCAATCAGACCCCTGGCTGCACCGCCCTGCTCGGCACGCACAGCGCCCGCCTCCGTTTACCCTGTTGTCCTGCGTCAGCGGACACACCAGGACCCGGTCAGCCCCCGCCAGGCCAGGCCCTCCAGCCTCTAGAATGGGCGGTGGCATCTCCTCAGCCAATGGCTTCCCACTCCCCGAGCCGCTCCTGCCACAAGCAGCCTGGAGCCGCCCCCTGAGGACCAGGGTGGACACTGACCCTCCCTCCACCCACACAGCACGCAGGCCTCTGCAGTGAGAGGTGCGAGTCCCTGTGAGCTCGGAGGTGGAGGTGCTGACAGGCCTCTGCAAGCAACGCATGGCTCACAGCCACACCAGCAGCCACAGGCTCACCGCAGCCCTGCACCGTCCGCTGGGAGCTTCCCTGACAGACAAGATCGCCCTCTGCTGGTCCCAGGGGGCTGCACACTCCACAAAGTTGAGGCCCAACTGCTCAGAAACTCACCTGGAAGTCACAGGCCCCACCGCAGGGACTGGGGACTCCCTGTCCCAGCCCCTCTACCTCCTCATCCTCAACTCCAGGGCCTGGTGAGGAAGGAACCGAATGCACCAGAGCCCAGCCTCTCTGCTTAGAGGGGACTTTGCTGCCCCCCAGCCCTCACCCCACTCACCTCCCTCGTGCGAGGCCCCTCGGGCTCAATGTCCAGCTCCTGGGATCTCCGCAGGGCGGTTTCCAGCTCAGCCTTCAAGTCGATGGCGGCCTCCAAGTGCTGGCCACGGGTACCTGCGCGGGTGAACAGCTGCCGGCAAGGGGGCGCGTCACCCGGCAGGCTGGGCACCCTCCGCACGCCCCGCAGGCACGACCCAGGCGCAGCCTCACCTGGACCCAGGTGCGCACAGCCGGCAGGAACTTGTTCTGGATGAGCTTGAGCGCGTCCCGGGCCGACTGGATGACCGCGCAGTTGTCCTCGTCCTCCTGCACCCTGAGGCTGCCTGCAGGGGGAGCAGGGGTCACCAGGGGGACCAGGGCCCCGGCAGGTCACCGGCACTTCCGCCCACCCCACTTCCGTCACAGATCCCCTGGGACCCTAACCTGATGCCCAAATCTGCCGCTTCATGATTTTGGCAAAGACCAGGTCACCTGACCTGATGCTCCCTCCCCTGGACCCGAGACCTCTATGGCTTCCCACGGACAGACAGCCCGGGCCGTCCACCGCCACCCCCACTGCCTCAGGATGAAGGCCGGCTCCTCCCTGTGCCCAGCCCATCCAGCTGCCACTCCCACCTCCCACCTGCTGCCAGCTCCCTGCCCCCGGGCACAGGTGGGCAGTTCCGTGGGGCTCGCCAGGCTCTGGGTGAGGGTGTGTGTGTGAGGACTTCCTGCGGCTCCAGCAGGGCTGCCTCCTCCCAAGAACACACCTGAAGGGCACCCCACTCACACCCACAGGACGGACGTCGGGGCCTATGAGGAAGCTCGGGTGGGGGGCGGGGGGTATCTGGGGTGAAGCCGCGAGGCTGGGACACCAGGGCCCCGGGGGCTCCGAGAGGCACCACCTGTATCTTTGCAGACACAGTGAGAAGCGCCTCTCCATCTCGTTTTCCTCCCAGGCCCGGGCGGCCACCCGTGACCCCGATGGACTGGGCAGCAACCATGGCCACCACGAGGGCACAGGGCAGGCCTTGGGACCCACAGCCTAACCCCACCCTGGGGGCCGTACGCTGCTCTCAGCCCCAACAAGTCTGGGCTGTCAGAAGTGGCTGAGGGCCCTGGCCAGAGGCCTGGTTCAGGCCGCCACCTGGGCTGCGGCCACGAGGGAGCCCCGAGCAGCGGCAGGAGCGGGTACCTGAGGAGAGCTCCACGTCCAGCGTGTACTTGTGGGAGCCCAGCCCATGGCTCCGCACAAAGTCCTCCTGGTCGCTGTCCTCCGAGGAGGCCCCCGTGGCCGCTGGGCGGCGCACACAGGCAGGCAGGCTCTTGCTGCAGCACGGCTGCTCCTCGTCCCCGAGGTCTGGGGCACTGGCCGGGCGAGGGGGGCCCTCCTTGGGCGCCCCAGAGGCCACGGCAGGCGCGATGGCCCCCCGGCATGGCCCCAAGTCGAAGGGCACCAGCAGCTGGAAGCAGCTGTCCACCTCCATGAGGCAGCCCCGGATGTCCCCGGACATTTCTGCGAAGGTCAAGACGCTACTCGTCGGTCACGTCTCAGGACAGCACCGCCCGCCAAGGGCAGGGCCCACTGTCTGAGGGAGACCCATCCAGCAGCAGGCGGCTGCCCACAGC